GTTGGTTTATGTGGGGCCGGGTTGTTGCATGTGGTGTTGGCTGTTCATGGTTGTTGGTTGTGTGGGGCAAGGTTGTTGCGTGTGGTGTTGGCTCTGCATGTTTGTTGGCTGTGATTGTGATGGTGGTGTATATTCTTTGCGGTTGTAGTCGTGGATTTTTGTGACAGTCAAGTGGTGGTTGTGATGGTGGTTGTTACGTTGTGGGCTGTTGTAGAGGCGAATGCGAGGTGGTTGTGGTTGTAAGTTGTATCTATAGGGTTGCACTGATGGTCGGTGTTACATTAGTTGTGATTACGTGCTGTTGTGAAGGTGATCTTGTTTTGTTTGGCTACAGTTACAGTAATTAGTGTTGTGGTAACTATAGATGCAATTGACTGATTCGTCTTAGTTGGTGTTGGTTCTGTTTGCAGTTGTAATTACAAATGTACTGGTGTGTTGTCCAGTGTTTTCATTGTTTGCAATGATTGATTGTTTTCGTGGTTGCGGTGAGTAGTTGTAGTCGCTGGGTCCAGTGGGTAATATTGTGCACAATGCACGGCTGCGACAAGAAATTGGTAAAGCGTGCGGTTTCTTTTTTTATTTTTCTCTTTCCTGGCTTTTAGCCGCAGTTAATGAAGAATCGATTAAAGACAACTGATTAAATAAACTATCTTTGACGAGCTAGTACTAACTGTTTGCGCTTTATAGAAATCTCAGTGCGCGGGTAATCGAAAAAGACTCTCACGTGACTCTGAAACTAAACTACGCCTAGAGATGACGTATTATGGCGCAATATGATGTCAGATGTGCGCCCTTATGCATTGTTTGCATTCACCATACGCTTTGATATTTCGGGATGCAATTGCTGTTTTTAGGCCTTTAAAAAAAATGAGGACTATGAGGAATGTGTGTTACACAGACTAGCCACGATGGAGTTTTTCTTTTCTTTCTGTGTCCTTTGCGGACGAAGAAACGACGGGGAGGGGGTATTCCCCAGGGAAGAGGTATTCTGTCTTGCRCACTTTGATAGTGGCAATCTCGAGTAACACATGCAGGAAAAAGGCTTAAAAACATGATCTGATTTAGTAAACCATCGTGTTTTTTAAAGATGTCCCATCAAGGAAACAATCTTGAAACCATTAATAGTAAGAGTTCCACTTATTTTCCTGTACAACACGAGAATTCGAAACATGTGCTGTAATCACCCTGACGAATAACATCCACATCCTTTCTAGCTTTCATTTCCGGTTAGCAACATTGTTGACAAAAAATCTTATAAATAGACGTACCATTTTACTAATACGTCGGCCATCTTAACTTCCATCATTTTCTGGAAAGCTTTTCTAGACATTTATAGGCAGCGCAGATGTCAGGGTGTGTTTTTATACAGAACTTTACGTTATTTAATGTGAAACACATTTAAAAGCCAATAGAATGTGCTGGGGTTGTAGCGGTATGTAAAACACCAAAACAGAAGATCATGATCATTTGAAAAAGTAACTTCGCAACCCTATGCTTTCATAAATATTTCTACATTTGCTTCCTTGACATCCCATAATTTAAGATGGTTGCGTATTCGCTAAAAAGATCTACTCATTCAAATCGAAGACACGCGTAAAAATAGCTTATTACGTAATTGATAAAAAAGGAATTTTATAATTAGTATCCTGAGAATAAACGTTTTGATAAATTCGAAAAATTTGAGCGAAATTTAGGTAATTTAATCGTTCAAGGTCGCCAGAAAAAGACGTAGGTAATCCTGAAAATAGACGACCCGGCACGTTGTCTGTCCGGCAAAAACACCAAATACGGTCTGCTGATAGAAGAACGCGGGTAATAATCAGCGTATCCGGTAGAGTTTTAGAGCGCTAAGGGCGATATGCTAATTATAGATCAGAAGTGATATGCCTCAAAATAACTGGTATGTTAGACAGTTATATTTAGTTATGGTGGGTGTTTGTTCGTTGTCCGCATTCTTCGTTTGTTTATACTTCATGCAGACTTCTTTTCTCGGTTTCAGTTTCTTTAGTTTGTATCTGTCATGTCTTTTTTCGTGTTTTGCCTTCTCTTCTCTTTCGTTTTTCGTTTCCTTCCTTCCTTTCTTTAATTTCCTTCTTTCTTTCGTTCTTTCYTTTTTTCTTTCTTTCTTTCTTTCTCCTTTACMTTCGTCTTCTCTTATGCCTTTTCTTTCGGTTCCTCCTCAGCTTGCTCTGCAAGTTGTCACATTTCAGACCACATGAATACTCTTCCATCGAGCATAGCATATAAGGACCTAAAAGTAATATACCCAATTAGATAGACCCCTTGCATGTGACGTCAAAGCAGCTCAATTTGGAGGACAAAACAAAAGAATTTCAATCTCCTGAGAATTGGACGCCTATCGTTATGTCCTCCAAATTGAGCTGCATTCCGACGTCGATACTGCAAGGGGTCTATTTTACACTACATGACCATTCTCTTGAGCATTGTATAAGCAATATATCATTCAGCTTGGCTCAGTGTTGCGTCATTTCAGACCACATGGCCCTTATTGCGTTGTCATTTTATGGTTACGTACGGGTGTCGGTCGTTACAGCTATGTTTATTCCACCTCTATCGTTATATCTATCTTCTGCCTACCGTTACCGTRCCTCGTTACGCGCGGATCGCTATCATTATCATCATTTATTGCTAATAAATATCCTATAAATATTATCAATCATTAATTTTCTCTCTAATAATTCACAAATACAGTTCTGTTTTTGATTACGGTTTCTAACTAACCTACGCTCTTTGTGGTTTGGCAACAGATTAAGTATGGTTTTAATTACTTTTGTGGTTGCGTTTCCTTCAAATATTCACTGTAATTATGCTTGTTATTAATCTATTATAAAGGTTATACTCTCTGCAAAAACATCTTGTCTGTAAAACTGGTTCATATCCTATCCTGCACGAACGATTCTTTAGTCAACTTTTCAAAAATATTTTACTCCCTCCAAAACAAAATACTTAATTTACGAAAATTTTAGAAATTTTAGAATGTCTCTTTTTGAAAAATAAGGACTTTTTCACGAGCATGAGGGCCCATCAAGTTACATTAAATCTTTTAAATTTTTCACGCGATAAATTTTACTATAATTTTAATCATTCAGAAAAATCTTTGTCCACAAATATCCCGGGAAATTTGAAAAACCTTTTACTGTGGTGACTCACTGATTAGTTTCACCAATGCCAATGAAATAAGTAAGTACTGCCCTGGTATATCGATTTCACCCGGGCCGTATTGAGTTTATAAAGTCTAGATATTTAGCCAATCAGAACGCGCGGGTGGATAATTTGGCCGTGGCACTTTGACGCATGCGCATTGGCTCTAAATCATAATTTGTGTGGAAAAATCCATCCGTGCAGAGTGGAGTCGAGTTTGTTTTTCACTGAATTTTCATCCTTTGAAGCTGAATTCAGCTCTAAGAAGCCGCTATTACCTCGTTAAAGACCTGAACTTGAAGACTGAGTTGTCGATTTGTTCGCTCATGTCATAACGAGAGCGACAAAGTGCTTCAAGTTTATTCTTTAAAGTATAGACCCGGGAGTCGAGAGTGAGTGGAAATATGGCGGACACAGAGGAAAGTTTGTATAAACCGTCTCGACATCGAAGGGATAGAACCGAAAGATCCCATAGAAGGCGGATGGCAGACGGCCGAGATACAAGTACTGGAAATACAGATCTTAACTCTAGCAATCTAGGCGACAGCGGCGAAGTAAACGAACAGTTACTAAGCCCTGAAAGTGCAGAGCGAGAAGTTTCGCCTCGTATAAAAGATAAAAGRAGATCGAAATCTAAAGATGAACCCGAAGCTAATGCCTCAGAAGAAGCACCAACAGAACCTGCAGCCGAGACAGGAGAATCTCCTGGAAGAACGCGAATAAAGAAAGAGAAAAAGAGCGAAAATAGCGCTAGAAAAAGACGGGAAAAGAAAAATCTTCGGGAAAAGCGTCGGTCAACTGGTGTAGTTATTATGCCGACTGGCGAGGTAAGCTAGCAACGATAAATAACTGCCGTCTTGATCTGGGATCCTAAAACACGTACTACATTAAAAATACTATACCAATACTAAACTATTCATGTAATAGTGGAATTTCTAAGGCTTCTTAGCGTAAGGATTCTGGATAACAGTCAGAGTTTGAGACGGTACGACGTTCGCCCTAAAAATACTAGACCAAGTTACTTCGTGTTGCTTTGAGGCGAGCAAACTTTGACTGTCTGTTAACGGGATTTCGCTGAATTTTCCACTTTTATACCTGAAATTTTGATAGATACTTCCTAAAAGAGTGTTCATTTGCAAGATCTTAAGCTCTTGTAAAAAGACATTTGCAAATAGAAAATCAAAGTTGAAATATTGGCTCAACATGATCAAGTTTTGGTCCAACTTCTGTCCGAAAATGTAAATAATTTTAATGATTTTTCTCAAAATACTTTTAAAAATATCAAARAAAATCGTGAAATCGTAGACGTAATTTTCGACTAATGGCCTCTTTATCGTATTTTAGCTTTCTAAATTGGCCGTAATAATTCGATAGCTTCTTTTTTCTATTTATAAGAGGTTAATTGGAATTTAGTACATACAATTTAACTATATTATGTACAAAACTCATAATTTTATCTTCAAAATGCCGAACAATTTATTCCGGAATTATTATAACTGTTTCATTTTGGCTTACAAAGATCTTAAATCTTTATTTTTCTTTACTGAAGTTGCTTTTGGTGATTGTGAGTCGGATTCTCTTCTAAGATCGATTGTAGATAATTTACAAATACCTTGGAGTTTATTTATAATTTATTAGGTTCTATTGCTGGTGTTGTATTCTTGAAACTAGACGATAAATTTCGTCTGTCAAAGTTTGAAAAAGTTATTAAAATCCTCACACTGAATATCGTAAGATAACTTAAGGTATTTTTACAACTTATATCCAACACAACAGATGTGTCCAATATAGATCCTATCAAGGAAAAAAAAATTCTAAGACTTCTTTRTACTTTTTCAAACTGTTAGAGATTATTTTCTTGCATAAATTTTATTTTATTTAACTAAAAATCAAAAGTTTTGGAAAATAATTAGGATAATTTTGATTTGTTTTGGAAATCACAATATTAGAAATTGATTTAATTAGAAATTGATTGAAGGATAAATTGAACAATACTCATTGCTTTCACAATTGTWATGTATTTACTGTTATGTGATTGAAATTAACTGTGAATTTAATTGTTCAGAGTGATGATGAAGATAACGAAGAGCAGAAGGCTATGAAGGCTTACACAAAACAGAACGAACTTCTGGTTCCTGGTGCAGAACCTGATGATATAGTCGTGGTAAGGACAAAAAATTATCAACTATTTCTTACTTATACTCTAGTATGATAAGTAAGGAATGGTGATAATGATGTTTTAACTTTAAAAAAACATTAAAATGTTTATGTTCATCCTACATACAATTTCTCATCTAATMGTTACTGGAGCTGTTTGATAAAATTTTCCCTCGAAAAAATAAACCTTTCAACTCTAAATTTCCCCAAAAATGATATTTACAGCATCTACTTTCTTTTAGAACTTATCTTAATTTTTAAAATAGATAAAAATTACATGCTTGAGTTTTTAGGTATYGCTTTAGTTTCTACAAAAAACATGAATTACGAGTCGCAGTTAAAAATACACAAATTATGAATTTTTTACTCTATTTTTGCTTATAATTTTTTATGTGCCCCCATTTTAAAAAACAGGTCAAATGCTTTCAAATCATGTTTATATGAATGCAGATAAGGAACTACACATACCATAAACAAACAAAAATCATTAAAACAATGCTCACGACAACCTCGTGTGTGATATAGTTATTGGTCCTGTTATAATGATCAAAGTGTTGAATTTCATGATTCTATTTTATCATTTATGAAACGTTTGGAATACTTAAGAGATCCATGTCCACTCACTTATGCCAACCCTAAGGTTGGGTTTTTCGGTGCACATACAGGTGAAATCTCACACATTTTTGATTCGTGTGCAATATTTCTTTTCATTACTTGTCACGAGTAAACTAATAATACGGACAAAGATTCTTTGCTTCTTCCTTTAATACACGGCTCACACCAACTACACATTTCTTCTTTATCTTAAGCTACGCAACTTATTTTATACAACAAATTTGCATATGGTAACATATTCTGCGGAAAGTGAAACAATGGCTATATAAATAACARTAAATATTCTTCAGTAAATCACCAAATAGCTTCATGACATTATTTATAAAACAGACTTGGATTTTTAAATTGGCATTTGCAACCAATTAGTCATTAACATATGTACAAGCAAGATCCAGATTTTCTACRCATACACTCGCACAAACAATTTGATCTTTAATGTGAGAAGAAATAGAGGAAAACTCAGGAATGCATACCTTATTTGCAGAATATTTTGTGTAATAACTTATAGCATGCATCRTACATGTTTATTTATAATATATCTGATGTTAAAGAGGAGAATATATTCTAGAATGAAGATAGAAAAATAGATAAGAATAGCAGATGAAGTTACGATGTGTTCTTATAAGCTATTGGCTGATATCTTAGTGATGTCATGGCCATTGAATGAATAATAAGCCATGATACAAGGCTAAGCTACTGACCTATACTTAAGACCTTGTGCTCTACTTCTGCTGCTACTACACCTAGAAATCCTCTATAACAATCCAACAAGTATTCACTATTGGTTTTCTGACAAGCTTACAAGCAAGTCCACCTGCATATTTCATCCGAGAACCATCCTCATTATGGTAGGTCTGCAGTATATTACTACGTAAGAAACAGATCACTACAAGTACTGTTTATGGAATTACTAGCTCAAGGTGAACCATTTCCTAATTCCCCTAATTCGAGTATATTAAATATATTATGGTTAATTGAATTATTAAAATATTCCCAAACATTTGTATAATGATGTCAGCAACAAACTCTGTTTTAAAATAATGTTTTAAAGATTTCATTTGTCATCTTTAGTTCGCATATTTTCTCTGAGGATTAATGTCTTGAGTTCAGATATCCATTGTTTACATTGKGTAGTCTTATTTTTATAATGGTTTCTTCATRAGGTTTMTTTATTTATTTTATTATTTCAAAAATTCCTAGTAATTTTAATGGCAGGGAAAATCCATTGTAGTATGGATACTTTCTCATTTCTCTGTATAACCTACCAATTCCTTTCTTTTTGATTTTGAATACCATAACTGATTGTTAAACAAGATAACTGTTTAAAAATCAGATCCTGCTTCCATGGGAAAATCCTCTTTAAACAAATGAATTACTTAGTACTTAATATTATCTCATGRCATGAATTAGAATTTTGAATTCGACAACTACATTTTGAATAGAAGACTAAAAGAATGGATATCCTTCTCTGTGTAAAATTTATTTTCCATTTTATACTGCAGTTTTAGATATTCTGTGAGCACAGTAGTTTTGAGCTGCATGCTGAAATTTGGTTTTTTGCTTCCATCAATCAAAAATATTCAGTTGTTACCTTTAYATTCTTGACTGACGGCAGCAAAATATTTTACAACAAGCCTTGAAATGCCTGAGTTTGAGTTTGCAGAATATTATGATTGTAATTTCTATCATAATAATTCTAAACCTAGTTCAAAGTAAAAAAATTCCTCATTTTAGATGTTTATTTTAGATGTAATTCCTTCATGACTGTTTTGACATTCTCATACATGCTCTTCTAAAGAGCTTCCTCCATCAATTAATTTTTATCTTAAATTAAACTTCTCAGATTTCTTGTTATTGTAAGGATATACATTTCTGACACAAGCAAATATATCTTCTAAATTAAAACCAAAATATAAACAGATATCWCCTGTCAACAAGACCTCTGTGCATTTAAAAGTTTACATAGGAAATAGTCCTGGTGTTGATAAATGGTTTCAGGATGTAAATGAATGTCTATCAAAAAGGAATGCTTTAGAAGTTACTGTTTGGTAAAACAGCTCAGTTTGCTTATATTTCTTGACTGTCTTTGTATCTTCTTTCATCAGCTTGTAATTAATAGTGAAGTGAACATGAAAGGTTGAGTTAACTTTGCAGCCTGTTATGTAGTCATAAAAATATCTTTTTCAAATTCATAAAATACGGCCGTTGTGTACCTTATTACATACTCATTTATGCTACTCAGGGTTAGCCATAAAAATAGGGTTACTAGTAGTCATAAAAATATCTTTTTCAAATTCATAAAATAGGCTATTGTGTGCCTTATTACATACTCAATTTATGCTACTCAGGGTTAGCCTCCTTTCAGTGTCAAAATATTCACAAATACCAATGATAAAGTAAAGAATTGAATGCACGACTTTAACAATACAAGCGCTTTTGAAACTCCATGGTCCTTCACTGGAATACATGAATATTGTGTAGTTCCAGGAATCATCCATTCCCACCCCACAGAGGGATTTGGAATTTCCAAAGAGTAGGGGGGTCAGAGAAAGAACAAAAATTACAGAGTTTGTATGGAAGAAAATTGGTATTTCCAGGGGGTARGGGGGTGTCTTAAAAAAATTCCTCCAYGAGGGGGGTATGGATTATTTTTGGAACTACACATTCTACACAAAATTGAGGCTATCCCTGAACCACAGAGAACTTGAAACTGGAGTATTCCATAGAAGGTGAATGGGACTAATCCAAAAGGTGTGCGTGTGGGTGTGTGGTGGTGGTGAGTTCTTGGGATGGCATATATTGTGCCTTCTTTATGGTACTTCCTTGGTGTATTGGGGGTTAGAGGGGGGAGTAATGCAATTAGTCGCCATGGGATTGCACTGATATCATCTCAAACTCCTTGCTACATCTCAGCCACAAAGCTTTATTCTAAAATCTTTTTTTTCTTTTTCTTTTTCTAGGCAAATGCCAAAGGGTGAGTAGCTKATTTTTGATTTTTGTTATTCTAATCTTAGTTCATTTGCTAGAAAATAATCAGAATTGTAGATATTCATTTTTATTAAATTTTATTTATTATTAATAATATTTTTTGTAGTGTTCCAAACATAAGGATAGAAGATAAAGTGGTAAGTGTATAAACGACAAGTGGGTGCTACCAAGGTGGCAACAAACACCTTCAATGGTTCACAAATAATACACATCTCAAGAGAAGAATAACACATTYCATTATACCTATTATAATACACGCTACAAAATTACTCAATTCTGATTGGACAAGAGGAGTACAATTAAATCCCAAATTGTACTAAAGTAGAGTCCCAATTAAATTGCTCATTTTTGTTGAGTGTATTATTTTWAAAAAATTGCGCAATCTTCTCGTACAATTTGAAATTTATAGATACTYGTGATGTTTTGAAAGTTCTCAAATTGAACTCGCATAAAGGCTTGTCCAATTCTGAAAACTTTCTAAACATCACTCGTACCTATAAATTCCRAATTATTGTACTTGATCGTGTGACTTCCTATTCTAATTCACAAATCGTACTCTACATTTTGCTATTTTCAACTATAAGGCACTTATTTTAGCCCAATTTATGCCTAACATSTGTGCCTCCCTGTCTCACCGTGATTCATGATATTTTAGTCAAATTATTTAAAGGCCCTAACTCCATGTATGGTATAGATGAAGTTCTTTTTTCTTTGCAGAAGAATGATATTGATACTATASCACAACAGAAGCTGTCGGAAAAGGTAGAAGAATATGAATTGCAGATTGACGATTTCAAGGCTAAGCTTGAGCGAGCCAATAAGGTAGGCAAAAATATTGAACTAAGAAATATTTAAATAATAGTGAAGTCATGTTATCTTGACCCTCCTGATTCAAGATCTCCAGAATAATATTTATAGTGATGCTAGTAAATTGTCCTTGTTTTTATGCAGATGGCACTTAATAGTTCATTGGCAGATCTAGGGSGTGGGTTTTGGGGGCTGCAACCCCCCCTATGAGAGCCATCATGATTTTTTTTTTTTTAATGCCGAACACATTTCGCTCGCTTTTTTTTTTCTATACGCMGTGTGTGGGACCTGAAACAACCATGCTCGCCTGCAGCAAATAATCATTATCATAAGACCTACTTCCATTTGGGAACCCTGTGCTACTTTCCCCGCCAAACAAGTACCTCAATCAATGCTACAACCCCCCCTTTGAAAAAATCCTGGATCAGCCCCTGTAGCTAGTAGCTAACAAACCCTCATTCCATGATTGAATTGGAATAGCAGATATTATGGATGCATGCAAATGAGATGCAAATGCGACAAGCACTGTATCGACCTGATAGACTCACTTGTATGATTCTTAAAACAAAAGAATATCCCATTGCAGGCTTAACTGTAATAACAGCTATTTTTTCAGAGGGAGAAAAACTGGGAACATAGGAAAAAACCCTCGAAGCACAGGAGAGAACCAACTGAAAACAATACTTACACATATGACACTAATAGATACTAGAGAAAAACATTTGAGTATGCATGCATTTCAACATGTTTTCTAAGGATTTAGAAGAGTTTGAGTGAGAAAATAAATGTTTGTTTTCTCCAAGTATACAAAAAAGTTCGCGAGTATACTTTTGTCAGACCAAGATACTGTATTAAAAAACACAATATGAAAGAATTAGCCTTAAGTTTCAAGCATGGACACTAAGTTTTGGCATTTTGTGAAGTCCAATTTATCAGRCATGTTTGAAAGTCAAATTTACATATGTTTTGACTAATTTGCATACAGATTCAGAGCATGCGCAGGTGTTTTTCACTCGTGTCACACTGATATACATATGAATCAAACCCACATCAATTRGGTGAGAGGTGAGTACTCTCACAGCTACGCAGACCCAGGCAAGTCCATGAGGATCTGGGTCTCGAGGGAATATTATCGAGGACTTTATTGAAGTTGGTAGATCACTCTGGATAAAACTATGGACCTCTTATTAACTATCAYATTTCTGATGTTCTTTTTGTACAGGATTTGGAACAGTTGAGACTCGATAACCAGCGACTTAAAGATGAGAATAGCGCATTACTACGTGTAGTCAATCAATTATCTACCAAGAAAAAATGAGCCGACCAATGTAATTATAACTGATGCTTGTTGCTGTAGGTTAGTTGTTATTACAGTATGTCAGATAGTATATAACCATGCATATGGACGATTTGCAAGATAATATTTACTATGCCGAGGAGTTCCTGACAATCCCTATCTCTATGCATACCATATAAGAAAAGTGGGTGGGGTTGTCAATGAATTATAATAAATTCTCCTTACTCGTTACTTTAGTAAAAGAATAGAACGATATAGGAGAATTTACGCCTTCATCATAATCTTCTGTCACAGAATATCTTGTGATGCATTGTKCCAAGAGCAGCTGCCATGGTGCTGAAGATGTTCATAAATTAATAATTCTCAGTGTTCCTTGAGTATGGTGCTAATTCTTGACCAGGTTAATCTTTGCCTTCTTTAGGAGACTAATCATGAGTTTTGTGGCTAAAAATAATGGCTGCTCAAAAGACAATGCCTGGCCAAAGTTARTACTTATCTAGCATTGTACCCAAGCTAGACCACAATGCAACACCWCTTAGGCCTGYCAACTTGACCATTCACATTGATAGRTCACATGTCGATCAGTCCAATTAGGCAAATCATCATGTCTSGCCACTGAGCAACTGTCATTTTCAGCCCTGCTTGAATTATGTAGTACTAGCATGAAATGTGGCAATAAATTTGGAATTTCACCTTCCTGAAGTCCAAAGAAAATGGTAGCAATCTCTTGGTGCATAGGATTGTTGGACAGGAATTGGGGTGACACATGTTTCATGGTAGTGGTTCATGATTTGAGTCCCACAATCAACAAATCCAAAGTCTTCCTTTCAACTTCAGAAGGCATTTTTTTTTATTTATCAGACYGTGCTAACTGTAAAACAGACCAAAGGCAAGAATAGTATCTGTGTGGAACAGAGAAGGTTTACATAAGCGTAAAAAAAATCATACTTGGAATCAATCTAATGGTTCTGTCTGTTAGAGGGATTCTTTTTCTTTACGCTCTTTCAAAAGCTCTCTTAGGTAAAAAGCCAGGCTAAAGTAGCAATACAGTACTCTGCTGATATTTTTCTAAACAGAAATGGAAACTTCRAAATTGGTTTACCCAATAAGGCTGCCACCTTAGTATACCTTGAAAACTCCAAGAACTCTCATAAGATAAGGCTGTTTAAATACTGAATTCTGCTTTTTAAAAGAGTATATTTTTGTATTCTCCCAAAAATTGGACTAAAACATTAGGATGGTCACTTAAAAAAAGTGGKTTTTTTAAATTTTAATAATTGGAAATTAATGGCGGGCACTTGGCATCCAGAATAGGTCCACTCAGCTTAAAGATGTATATCCAACGACGTAAGAAGAAAATAGGTTTGACAATACTTCGTTCTAACAAGCTAAATTCCAATTCAATCTATAGGTTAGC